GCTTCGGGGCAGTGTGGCTGCGGCTGCCCGCCGCCTTGGTACGGGCTTTCCCGAGAGGGGCGAGGGTAGGGCAGCGTGACTGCAAAATCCCCACGGGGTGTAAGTGCAGCGAGGTACCGGTGGGCACGTTTAGTGTGTTTTTCTGCTGAGAGTCTTAAGAGTGCGCCTGTCTGGGTGTCTCCGTCTTGCCGCCGTGCCTGAAGTGGTGTGTGACGTCCGTCGTATGTGGCACCCGCTCGGGATGGGAGAACTGCAGGTGAAGCGTTGTGCTCAGGTTGTGTAACTCCTGCAAATCTTCTCCCTCTTGTGTGTTTAGAGAAGTCCAGGGAACACAAAGAAGCAAGTCTGTATAGTTGAGGTTTCACATGCAGAAAAAAATGATTTTATCTGTGGGTATAGTAGGCAGGTAGAACATGGTTCATGTTCTTCAAGAAAATCACAGATGTATGATAAACTTAAGCAAATTGTCATTACTTTAAAAGAAAATAATCTCAAAACTGCAGCTGTCATTAGGAATAAAAGGTATTTGGACTATAAGGTGTCATGGAGAACATTAAAGCATCAGTCAGTTTTGGGGCAGTCTTTTCAAAAGAGTGTGGTTGACATAAACATGAGCCACTGATGCAATGAGCAATGTGTTGACTTAACCCGGGCAAACTAGAAGAGATGCTGAACTCCAAAACACTCACTGCAATACTAACGGGATAGTGTTGTACTGTGTTACATATGTACTCTTTTGCTCCATTCCTCTAAATCCTTCTTGGCCCCTCTGTTGCTGGTGGCATCTTTTGTTTCATGTGTGTTCTTACTTTTGCCAATGATGTGAAGAGCATTCCTTGGGAGCTGTATTGGTCCACATGCAATAACATGAGAAGAACTAGTAAACACAGAAGTAGTGAAGGAGGGTAAATGGCTTCTTAATAAATTGTTCACTTAAAGAAGGACTTTTCTGTTATACATTTTTGTATGTGTATATAAACAATATAATTTTCCATAATTATTTGTGGATTAAAATCACTGTGAGAGAAGGGAATGCTGATTCTAAAGAGAAGAGTAATTTTGTAGGTCAAACTTCTATGTTTAAAGCATAGCTGACCTTTTTTTTGAGAGACTTTGTTTTAAATAGAAGGTTAATTATTCAATATAAATAGGATTGTTATTCCGATTACATGATGCATGCAAAATAAAATTATTGTAATAGATAACTGATTTCTGTCACTGTTTACAGCCTTCTAGCAGTGGCCGAGCTGCAGAGCTCCTCGCCAAAGAACGTGGAACAGTGCCTGGGTTTATTGGCTTTGGAACATCTCAGAGTGATCTAGGATATGTTCCTGCCATTCAAGGAGCAGAGGAAATAGACAGCCTTGTGGATGCTGATTTTCGAATGGTGTTGCGAAAACTTTCAAAACGGGATATTACAACAAAATTAAAAGTAGGTGTATCTTTTTGTCCCCCCTATTTTTTTTATCAGAAAAAAATACATTTTTTTCCTTAAGGATGGGAGAGGAATATATCAAGGTAGCTAATACTAATTTCATATCGGTGAGTTTGCTGAAACTACTATCCAGAAGGTATCTTAGAGGACTTAGAAAAAGGTCCATCATGCAATGCTTATGGAGCATTCATAAAATAAACTTTATAGATGCTCAGTTTCAAGAAATGAATTGATTTTTGAAAAGGAGATTTGCAATGTCTGGTAGAAGCTGGTAAATTACGGAACGTGTCTATCTGACTTTTTTAATCATGCTCTTGATATCTTGATTTTAGGCTATGCAAGAGTTTGGGACAATGTGCAAGGAAAGAGAAGCAGAAGTTGTTAAAGGTGTTCTTCCTTACTGGCCAAGAATTTATTGTAAAATCTCACTAGTAAGTATTAAAGTATCTAAATTAAAAACTTCTCTGGATGCTTCCTGTGAAAACCTCTAAGGCAGTCTTTATTGATATCTTTAACTTTGGTGTGCTGCTTTTGGCTGGGATAGCGTTAATTTTCTTCATAGTTGCTACTGTGGGGTTATGTTTTGCATTTGTGCTGGAAACAGTGGTGGTAAGACAGGGATGGTTTAGTTGCTGCTGAGCAGTGCTCACACAGAGTCAAGGCCTTTTTTGCTCCTTACTCTGCCCTGCCAGTGAGCAGGCTGGGGGTGCACAAGAAATTTGGAGGGGACACAGCTGGGACAGCTGACCCAAGTGACCAAAGGGATATTCCATACTATGTAATGTCATGCTCAGCAACGTAAAGCTGGGGGAAGAAGAAGGAAGGGGGGAACTTTCGGAGTTACAGCATTTGTCTTCCCAAATAACTGTTAGGTGTGATGGAGCCCTGCTTTCCTGGAGATGACTGAACACCTGCCTGCCCATGGGAAGCAGTGAATCAATTCCTTGTTTTGCTTTGCTTGCGTGCACAGCATTTGTTTTACCTATTAAACTGTCTTTATCTCAACCCACGAGTCTTCTCACTTTTACTCTTCTGATTCTCTTCCCCATCCCACCAGGGGGGAGTGAATGAGCAGCTGTGTGGTGCTTAGTTGCTGGCTGGGGTTAAACCATGACAGTTGGAATTGCTGACCTTTTCTAGGAAAAAATAGGAAGTTGAAGGAAAGTAGCGTTCTTTATTTGGGAGATTTTTCAGTATTGGCAGTGGGTGGAATCTTAAACTGTTGATGCCTGGGCTGTACTTGCTGGTTATGTACTTGCTGTTATGTTTATGTTAAAAAGATGACAAGATATTTCTTCTCATGAAAAGTTCTTTGATGTAGGTTCCAGAATGGCTAAAGAGAATGTACTGTTCAATTAACATAATTATAAGTCTTTTTGATTGAGGACTAATATCTGACCAGACTTACAAAAACAAACCCAAAACTACCCCCCGCCCTCCCTCAAAAAAAACAACCCCCAAAAAACCAACCCCCCAACTCCCCCACCCCCAAATTTGAAAAGACCACGCATAGCCAGATAAACCATAATTTTCTGATATATTTAATACATATCCAAACTATCTGGACTGGCTACTGTTGGAAATATGGTACAGGACAAAATGAATTGCTATTGTGTTCTGTTAGAGCAATTCCTAGTATTTCAGGAGCCAAGAGCATAGAAAGTCATGATGTTGTAAATTCATAACCAAATAATGGATAATGATGCACAGTTTGTGTAGGCCTATAGTCATTTTAATCCAAAAAGTGTCTTCAAGGCTTCCTGTTTCTCTTGGCTCCTGTCTTTAAATGTTTGTATGTAACAGAAATAGAAACTGTAGTTAGGGATACCAGGAAAAGGTTATGATTTTGAATGTACAACTATTGGGAATATGATGCTGCTAAGACTCTTCCCTTATCCAGGGATACCAAGATTTTGTTT